AATTTCGTTTTGGAAAAGACAGTAACCTTGTCAAAGTATATTGTTTACTGTAATTGGGCAACCTAATTATCTGTCACAGTAAAATAACCAGGCTATAGGTTTGTGAACAGTAAACTTAACTTGTTGACTTAACGGCTCATTTTTGATCTTTGGACGTTCGGTTATTTAATTTTCTGTGTCGACATTTGCGCAAGTTGGTATATTACAAAGCTTCTGGTATTTCATTTAGGCCCTAATAGAAATCTTCATGGTCACACATAATAAGTTGTGTCAAACATGATTGCAGGCTTTACTAGGTGTGCAAGTGACAAGAAGTGTTCTAATTTAATGAATTCTTCATTAGTGCGCAATTTTACATTGAAATATAGACAGTAATTAACTAATTAGCACTAGTTAACCGATCACCTAGTGGACATACCTTTGCGGATCTATTGCCAACCATAGAAGTTAGAAAAGGTTTTAGAAAACAACGAGTCTTTAAACTTAATGAAGTAAATATATTTACCGGTTAATCAAAAATTTTGTATTATTTATACCTCGAGAAACTTTGTTTAACTAAGTAAGTATATATTTTTCTTAAAAAAAAGGAAATTTATTTGAAACCCAATTCAGTTAATTAGATAGTAAAAATATGGGAAATTCTCTAAAAAGAAACGTTGTTTTAGGTCCAAACTGTAGGTGGATATATAGTGAACTAACGTCTTACCCTAGATTGCATACACTAACCTTTATGTTTAGTTGTACACATTTCCTGAGTAGACGAGCGGTTTTAGTGATCGCATTCAACCTGAGGGTTGCTAGTTCAATCCCGTGCGTGGTCAATACATTTGTAATTAGTCTTTCAATAATGTAGCTATTTAACATCTTGTCGAGCTTCAATAGTAACAAGACCAGCGTTTACTCCGTTCGCGGGTCATGCAGACCAGGGTTTACACTGTTACCTGGTAACACGAAATGAAAAACGTGTAAATTACCCAATCTTAAGGCGGGAAAGCTCAATTCAACCAAGTGATTAAAACCGTCCACAAATTCATCACAAATCATTTTACAACTCAACAACAATGAGCTACAACGAATCACGCAATTGCTATTAGATGCAACCATCCCACCGAGGACGATTGTTCCTTATGTTGTGCTTGAACCTCCACTACACAGCAATTCGTTACAAGCCGTACACACTCAACACTGTCAATTTGCAAGAATCCCAGCATTGCTAGTCTATACGTGTGGACATGATAGTGTCGGAGTCGCAGGTTGTTCGTGAGTAGTGAAAGTGACTTGCCTCATTGATATGGGTCCAGGTCTATCGTGTAGCCCAGATACACGAACCTTGACCCAGGATGTCCACGAAGCGGTTACGTCACGAGGTCTAAAAATAATCTGCGTTCTGGAGCAGAAATGGAAAATGGTTATATAAAGAGTCCCACAGTGCCGAAAACATGCATTTGTCTAAAGAGGCGTTCTACCTCTACGAAATCGTCGGCATTGCTCGCGAACGGCGGAGTGAGACAAAAAATAGTTATTCATGTAACTACGGCTCGTGCGTAACATTTCTCTCATTTGCAGCAAAGGCAATTTGCACTCGTATTACACATTATATTTTTCCTACATTTATTACAGAGCATAGACATAATTTGTCTTTCAAACATTAAACAACACGTTTTAGGTTATGTTAAATCAGGGCGTTGAACGAAATGGGAATCACTGCAACAGCTGATAGTAGTCATAGAATCTTTCGGTGTTACCAACTTATTTTCAGGCATACATGGATTACGTGCCTAATAAGAGCACGCTGTGTTGTTTAGTGGGAATACTGGAGTGCGGCAAAAGTAAAAAGATTGCGGAAAAAGTAAGTCAGTGCAGAAATTAGTAACTTTCTGTACTATAATTAGTGCAAGAAAGCCCACTTTGTCAGGTGACTGTAGGAAAAAACTATTTCTTCACTTTCATATTTTGTATTATAAGTTCTCCTCATATTTTTGTTTTACACCTGACTGTTTTGAACTGACTTAACCAACGAAAGTTTGTGTATCAGTCTGTGGTGATAAGTAATGGTGACAAGTACTGATACGCATTCGATAGCATAAGAAGAGATCTTTTTGTGTTGGTACTGTAATACGAACCAATATGCAACGATAATTGATTAGTAAGAACGATTGAATGAAACTTATGTTGTTTCTCCATAAAAACCCATAAAAAAAACTAAAAATTTGTTTTAAAACACCGGTGCTGATTGAAATTTGTCCTTTATGGTCCTTTTAATTCGAAACAAAATATGTACTACCCTCCTTTCATGTAAAAATTGCGGCTCAAAAGTTAATGCAACTTTTATGATTTTACCTATTAAATATCATAGTTACTCTCATCGATTACCCATGATAAAGGTTGTTGACAAGCTAATGGGAGAAAGTATGTGTCAGATCACTGATATCGTTTGTTTTAATATATATAAGAGTTTAAATGTATATTTAATACATTACGTTTCAATGTACCATGTAATGGAATAATGCAGTCATTGGACTCAATCCCACAATTCTTAATAGTCAAACGACACATTAGGAGTAAAATAAACATTCTATGGACTCTTGAATAATATTTTGACGCTGTAATAGAAGGAGATAAAAACATTAATAACGCGACTGGGAGCTGGCTGGTTCGGTCAAACATGGAGAGGATCTAAAATAACTAAATCAATCGTAGATTGGATATTACATTATAAGATATTGGATCATCCAATATAACCTAATAAGTGTATATGTTATACAATATGGAAGGCAAGTGTCGCATCTTTAACAAATCACAAGATGGAGAGATCTCATCAGAAAACACTTTGGAGGTTTTATCTTTCAGTGCTACGTCGCCGTCGCTCATCTGTCTCCGCTTACACGAATCTCACTCCTTCGATGAACTACCGTAATTTATAAAACTTTTAGGAAACAAAAGCAATGCGATTGAGTATTTCTAACAATATCAGTTGTTTTATGTATTTTGTCAAACCGATAGCGCTATAACACTATCCACTATGAGATGTTAAATTATCGTAAGACTAAATCACCCCGATTTTTAAGTATAACAACTTCATCACAACAGTTGCTGCTCTTGGGTGAAACACAACTTTACAACGCTTTTAACAGGGTTAGGTGTGTTTAGTGACCAAAACCCGCCTACGAGGATGAAAAAAGATTAAAATGATGGACCTCTCAGATGACTCTCTTTCAACATAGTCTATTTTCGTAGTCATATTTTGAATATTTTAACACAACAAGGAATTCGTAAAACTCTACGTTCTCACTTCAAATAACAATACTTTAAATTATATGTACCTTTAGAACATAAGTACCTATGAAGTTGTATTATTCGCCTCAATAGCATCTCAAATAAAACCGATCAACCCAGCGGATCACTGAAACCAATTAAAAACTCTAACATTGTTCAATCCGTACAATCCCTAGCTTCCACTCGACGTGAGTTTAATTTTCGAATTCAATTTACGCAACGTGACGAAATATAGTTCAACGTCACTGCGAGAATCCCAATCACCAATCAATTACCACGACCATTTGTCACTCACGTAATTGAAAGTGGATCCAAAATCGATTGGCTTTGGTAAACACACGGTTAATTACCAAGCGTATGTTTGTTTGCTGTACCACTATCATTGGTGACGTTTATCAATGCCACTGTAATATCAATACTGTCACTTGTATCAATATCAATACTGCTATCACTTTCTACCGGATGACTGGTCGAGGTCAAAAATCATCTAAATAGTGTCTTCAAATATTAAAATTTCTAATTTCAGCTGTAAAATGCTTGGAAGAAAATCGTGACAAATTCCACCGTTTATGGCAACATGCGAAGTCGATAAAGATTCTTTTTGTGAATATTGGGAATTTATTTCTATAGTTTAGTTATGACTTAACGCAGAAAAAGTAGACTATTTTCAACAATAACTACAACCCTCATTGGTTTGGTTTTTTAATTCTAGGTACATAAATCGGCAAAGTGTTGATTGTCATTTTAAAGGGTTCGTCTAATAAGGGCATTTCGCCTATTGGGTCTGATGATGATTGGAGTGTAAAATCGAAATCGATCACCACTTACCATCTTTTATATGTATTTACCGTCTTGTGAGTAAAATTTTTAAGTGTAACTATATTATTGCGGATTTTATTTGACGTATTTTTTGTGCTTTCATCTAATAAGGCGCAAATATGTAGATACTACTTAAATGGACATTTCTTTTACGGTACAAAGAAGGGGGCAAGTACCCGGTGATACAGATTGGACACAGTTGGCCAAAATTAGGAGTTTCCATACTAGCTGTGCAGTATAACCAAGTCAAAAACACAAGGGAGGAAAACCTCACTGCGGAAAAATATAATTAATTCCAGTCCTCGTTGAAATGTATTGCAGAATATATGTGTCCTGCGTTGTAGAACTGGTTCAATAATTTACGAGCCACTTTAAGAAGTATGGAATTGAACTAGCCCAAACTAAAGGTAACTGAGACCAAACATAATTTGGTATGAAAGCTACACCTAGAGGAAAGGTGTGCTACGGGGCGGACAGGGGGGCAGTTTACATGAAAAAGGGCCAGTTCCATTTGCGGGGTGATACCAGCGCAGCAGTACGCCGAACAAAAACTTATCGAAAACTCTACAGTCAAATAGTATTTAGGTGGAATAGATGACTGCACAAGAGAGAATATTCATAGGATCCAATGGGGAATAATTTAAGGAAAATCGTGTGAAAATGCCTCAAATGCGCGGTTGGCTGTGGGTGTCTTACTGCGCAGGTCTCACCGCCATATCAATGACCTCAGGATCGGTGTAAACATTATTTCACCATCAGCTCATCGCCGGTTCCACTTCCTCAGTTCATCCCCCATTACACCCAACCAGTAGCGCTTCGCCCAATAAAAATATCGCTCAGTAATAAACTAGTGTTATGGCTTATCGATTACAACTTACAATAGGGTGTATAGACTATTGGCCTACCGTAGTCGGTGTGGTTGACTTGGTCAGACGTAGATCCAACACGGGCGGAACTGTACACACTAACACACAGCACAGCACACAGACGACGTTGGCATATCGCGTACAACACACGGAGTACGGAGGCGAGCTACGGTGAGGGAATGGCGAGCTGCGCGGGCCCAGGCATAGGCAGACCTCCCACCCTCCAGCATCGACCCGCGCTGCAACCCAACAACCCACCAACCCACCACCCCACAAACCCTACCTCTCTTAACCTCCTTTGCTCTAGTGGCCCTCAAAGGCCGCTGTCTATTCCGACACTGAGTCTGGTCCATTCAACAATTCGGGCACCATTTAGGTCACCTGATTTGATATTTTTCATCCCGTATTTCGGTATGCATTTAGGGGGTGAGGGGAGCAGAGGTTAAGTTTCGAAAATATCCAAATATTGTAATAACAAAGGCCGCTGTCTATTCCAACACTGAATCTGGTCCATTCAACAATTCGTGGTCCGTTTAAAAATGATCTAATTTTACAATCTTCACCTCCTTGGGGCTTAGGAGATATTACTATGGGAGAGGGATAGGGTAGGAGTGAAATTCCGACTCTTGTTTCTTCAGAAATAAGTGACCAATATAAAGATCTAATGTTACACCGAGAGCTGTACTTAGAGGTCCATTTAACACTTACGAGTTCAGTTGGCATCTAACAAAAAGGCCTTACTTGAGCTAATTTACTCACATTTCGGAACTGTATTGAAGAGGAAATGCCAAATTGAACTTTTAAAGGTTGTGTCGTCTTGGGGGAAAAGGCGTTCACTTCTTCAACTGACTAATGTAAAAAGCCGCGATCACATACACTATCTGTCTAGCTAGAGTTTCGTCAACACCATTGATAGAATCACCTAATTAGATTTAAGCCCCCGAATTGAGGATCTCGCTTAAAAGACGAAAGAAGTTAACTTTCAAATGTTGGTTAGTCTTAGAAAAGTGTCAAAATACTGGCTAACACATTAAACAGGTTAGGGTCTTCAGGTATACTTAACCTTGCTTTCATATTCTGGAAGTTGCAGGATTTTGCTAACTCAATTATTACAGTCTCACTCTAGGTCATCATATGCACGATTTCCAACGTAAATATGTTGGACACTACACAGACACTGGGTTATAGAATACATAGTCTACACAAATAACTTAAAGCTTTGCTACAGTCTTCCTCACATAAAAAACCATCTGTAATTTTTGAACATAGTGAAAAATCAATTAAATGAGTAAATGAGTGTATTTCCATTAAACATTACAAAGTCAAAACAATCTTATCTTTGGAAATACAAACTGACCACTTTGACAAGTTGTGTGGTCAGCAGAGAAAATTTCTTAACAAACTAATTCACTGATTAACAAATTAAGGGAATGGAAAGATTTCAAATCACCGAGTATTTCGAAAACCAAGGTTCGATTTATAAACAGCTTCATCTTCCTCCCTATTCGATTTATGGTTCAATGTCGCGCAACCAATAAATTTCAGTAGAATAGATCACCTTCTAAAATACGGCATTTTGTACACGGTGCATTGATATTGGTCCTGTAATGTAAGATGGTAAACTACAAAATTTACAAAAAAATGTTTACAATGGTATATTACGTGATGTTTAAAAGTTTTGAAGCATAAACATTGCAACTGTTTGTGTACATGTTGATATTCATACAAATGTTGAACAGTAGTACGTGATTGCAGAGATAAATGCTCACTTTGAAACTCGCCCTGCTGCTTCTCTTATCCTGACGACGATTTATTTTATAGTTTTCAATTCAACTTAATTCGGTCATTATCTCGCATGAGAAAATTTGCTGTTCACTGCAATGCCTTGTATACCTCTCTCACTGTACATTCATCCTCACTGGTTTGATCTTGTTTACTTACAGTTAGTGATGTGGGCCAGGTAAATACCCAGTGGGTAGGTAAATACAAATTGGGTTTTTACCCGGGTATTTACCCCAGGCCCGGGTAAATACCCAAAAACTGGGTATTTATAATTTGTATTAAAGTTAGAGAAGATTGAGATGTTTTTTTGCAATTATTACCCTGTACGGATAGTCAAATGATGATAAAATGTGTTAAACAAAATTTCATGTGGTCACTACTAGCATTTTACTTCTGGGTATAATCACCATAAATACCCAGGTCTGAGCATAAAGCATAATCGGCATAAATACCCTGGTCGCATGGTTGCACTGGTCCTGACTACTTATGATTTTTTCAATTTCTATGATAGATAGACAAATTTATTTTATTGAAAGTGAAAATAAATAATTTGCAAAGTAATAATTATTATTTAGAAAGACAGGAAAATTTAACCTAGTGGCCTATGTGTAAACAACTGAAGAAAATAATTAAAGTTCAATCTGTAGGATGGCAGGATTTAATAATATTTTTGTTCTAGATCTTTTGTTGGTATCAATGGAAAAAAGAATTAATTTCATAAACTTGTGATACAAAACATTTGAATCTATAGCACAATAGATCTTAAAAATTTTATTAAGTTAGACCAAAAAACAGGAGATACATTTTTCTAGTAGGTTTATCCAAATATTGTTTCCAACCAAGCGGGGTAACACAGAAAAGTTTAATTACTTTTATTATTCTGCCATTCTGCCTATGTCAATCAGGCCTTAGGTCTGTCTAGCCTTCCAAGCCATTTAGGCTATACAATAAAAAAATTTTCATCATAAATGCCCAACAATTCCTGGATATTTAAAAATTAAAATAATTTTGTTTATGTTATTTAATTGGTTATAAGTTGTGACGCTTAGCGCCACTAATTTATATAGTGCCACACAACTAAATCGCTGGCCTTGCGATCGGCGCGCCTCCTTCGGTCTGCCGCTTGCCTTTTTTCGAGAAACGTCAAGGAGCTACGAAATCGAGTTTTCCTCCGTCTTGTCTGTCGCCGGTCTTCGTTCCCTTCGTTGGATTTTCTGATCGTCCGTTTACTGAGATCGACATACCCTCGTTTTATCAGGATGAGTCTATAATTATTAAGTAGAGCTAAGACTAGGATGACAGGCTAGATTAACAATATAAGGGGAAGCCGGCAGGCTTTCGCCCCACTCGCAGAAATGTAATTCCAAAATAATGATTACCTCGCTTAACGAGGTAATCATTCCTAGACATGCAATAATCACCACGTTGAAAGTTTAAGTATTAATTCATTCAGGAATCACCTTATGAGTCCAAATTGGTTCAGTAACGAGTTAGGGAACGAAATTTACCTGTTTTATCATCATTTCCGTTTTACACAAATTAGCAGTTTAGTTTGGAAGGTTAGCTATAGTTCTGTTTAATAGTTAAAAATAAGTAATCAAAGCTGGCTTGGCCTGCTTCTGGTCTGGGTAAAGATTTCCGCCCTCTGGTTCCCCAACAACGTTTCCAATTAAATTGTCATTTTAAGATGGTAGTAGAGTATAGCACGTTCTTAATTGCAACATGCTAGGGTCCTCCAGGCCCTAGCACCCACAGCAGCCAATTACCAACACATTTAACTTAACTAGTGTCCCTGTTGCTCGAAATCGAGCAATTGCTCTCGTTTTTTTACATTGTAATATTTACGCCAACCCAAATTCAAATATTAACTATTTCATTTCAACCAAGTAAGTAAATGTTTTGTAGAAAACTAACTGTTAAATTAGCAAACTTATTGACTGTTTACAATTAACATATGTCCTTCTTCTCGCTTTTAATTTCTGACAACAGCTGGAGTTTCATAAAAGTATTTTGTTTCCCATGTCAATCTTATGGAGGAATACGAAACTTTAAAGGGCCCCAGGGCCTCACCCTCTAATTATTTCCCTAAAAAGAAAGTTTCTTGCACAACTTCACGTTACGCTCTTTCCAATGACACCAAGAACATGTAAATCGGTTCAGTAGTTTCGGAGGAGTAATTGTCACAAAAAACCTGCTTGTGTATTAAATAAGTATAGATTACAATTAATACATCACATCACCACAGAAACCATAACCAGTTTTCACCCCCAATTATCTCTCCTTAGGGCCACAAAATTTATAAAATGATAAAAGTTGAAATAGCCACAGTCTTTTTTAATTTACTATTTTTTAAGTTAAATTTAACTGATGTTACTCGATTTAAGACACGAAACCCCATGCTTATTTAGAATCTATATGTATTAGGCCTATTTAAAAAAAGTGCTCAATCATTAAATAAAAGGTACTTAACTTAGTAAAGCTTCAAGTTACTGTAAAATGTGTTATAGAAACATATTTAGGGGTAAATATAAATGAATTTCAATCGATTTCATAAATACCCAAAATACCTGGGTATTTATGGATTTTGGGTATTTACACGGGTAAATAACAAGGGTATTTACCCCGAGTTTTAAATACCCGGGTATTTTACATCACTACTTACAGTATGAGTAATTTACTTATTAGTTAAGACTGAAAATACCAAGTGAACTTTGAGTTTCGTGATAGTTTGACATTATTCATCGCTTTCTCCTAATATGTGTATATTTTTTTCAAATCAACAATTGACTACGGCCACAATTCAGTGGTACAGAAACAAATGGGAATATGTCTATATAGAAGGTTGCTAGTTCAATTCCAGACTAGGTCGATTTTAGACCTAGATTCCATTTGTAGATACTATCAATTATTGATGCTATCTGGCGAATGTTAGGTAACCAAAGTTTGGATCGTTCCCTCACAAAAACTAAAACATGGTAACTTAAGAACATTTTACAACACGTCCAGACATTTCATCCTGCTTATATAAAAAGCTAAAATCATTTTTAAAAATCAAAACTTAAGGAGAATTGCAACACCAATGTGTAAAGTATGAAACCTTTGAAACCTTTTTCCGTGTTAAGTGTTGACCCAAAATGTGTCAAGAGCTCTTTTATTTGAAGCGTCGCGTTCCGCTTGCAATTAAGTAACACGCGTCTGCATTCACTACATTTCCATTTATCCTACCAATCTGTTCCATCGAACACCACGTTTTTCAGCGCGTTGGATTGAAAATGGAAAGTGTACATTTTATCATGCAATCACCTTGGAGGCCGAGCTTTGCATGAGGAATGTCTTTTTCTATGTTCAACCTTATTTTTCAAGTACGATTTAAGGCGTATACACTTAACAAAATAACGCTCTGTACATTAA